AGATTGTAGCTACTCTAATCATCCAAGTGTGGCTCACGAACACTGTGTCACAGAATTCCTACTCTTTCCTCTCACAAAGGAATCTCAATAACTGTTCTGAATAGAATTGACTCTAGGGTGGTCTCTTTGCCTAGGAGAGTGAAAGCCAAGTTTCACCTAACAGCATATTTAAGAAAATCAAACTAAACAACATCTTGACAGAAGGCACATGGGTCAGCACAGAAAAAGGCCCGGAGAACACAACGCTAAGTGTATCCTAAAGGCAAGAGGCCACAAGCTCTGTCAAAAGGAACATCAGAACACACACAGGCTCCCACAAACACTTTATGAGCCTTGTATACCAACTGGGGGAGCATTCCAATCCCTGTGGTGTGAACTGTAATCAGTCATGGCAGGACTGACTGCTGACTATTCTGTTCTCAAACAGGGACTATCCTGCCTTGTACAGGACACATGCATTACCTAAAACCCTTCTGTTGCACACAACAATTGCACCTAGTAAAACTGAAAGCATTAGCTATGACACTGTCTAGAGTCTGACAATATTTACACATGGCAAAAATGTTGTCATAAATCATGGCAATATAAAGGAAAGAAAACTGGTCTAAGATTCCACATACAGTAAGTGCACTGAATCACTGCTATAAGGTACACCTACACTGTTAGATGGTTCCAACTCATGCTACTTTTTCTTCAAAACCTCCTCTCCCGAATATTAAATAGAAGAATGACAGGGCAACACATTCAGTCTTACCTCCGACAGAAGAACTGAGCTTGGGGAAGTGGAAAAGGAAGAGACGACCATGAAGCAAACATGAGTTTAAAAACTCTTCCTTCTTCCTTCTGACTAATACACCAAACTGCCAAGTGCTATGCCTAATCAGTTTTCAGTCAGATTCAGAAGTCACACACATAAACAAGACCAAATGGACAAACACTGAATAAATATCCAGCCATCCTTTTCACAGTTCAGAAGTTTGCCTTCACTGCCCAATCCTGTTCCTTTAAACATAGGTTAAGACCGGAAAAAGCTGTAAACACTTTTATTAGACCACTGGAAAATACAACAGCCTTCATCACTGCCATTCCCCTATCACTCACAGCACTAGGTACAAGAATCTCAGGCATCACTACGCCCATGAAAAAGCTGGCACCAAGATCATCAGATATTCCAACTGTCATAGGTCTCAATATCATAAAATAATCAGGACTTTCTTTTGCCTTGTCCTCAAGCTTGGCAGTACAAGTTAATTCACCAGGCCCAGGTGGCTGCTACCAGACTACCAAAAATAGCTTTACCAAGATTCACAGCACCTACACTCTATTTTAGCATTAAAAGAATGACCAAACTAAAAAAAAACAAACACCCCAACAAAAAAACCCCGAAAAAACCCAAATAAGAAAATCCCTAGGTACATGCTCAGTTTTCATGCATGTCATACAAAGACTCTTTACACCCAGTAATCTGCAAACTTCACATTCAATGTGTTTTTGAAAAGTTGATGCACATCTCACTTTCAGACTTAAAGTCAAGCAATCCTATCTACTTCCATTCTCTTAAGTCCTGGAATTACTTTTTCTAGAACATTATTTTTTCATATACTTGTTACAAAAACAACAGGTTCAAACAAAATGTCAAAGTAAGCTTTTACACATCACTTTTCTGCACCTAACCCTCAAGATGCTACTTGGACAGGGAAAAAAACTTCAATTACAGTTTCAAAGTATTGTGTGTACAGAGTGAGGTGACAGTCTAGGAAGACAAGAGGGCTTAATTTATGCCTCCAGAGCTATCATCTGCTGTAGTAACACAGCACTGATTGGAACCAAGAGCCAAAACCTCTTCTGCTGCATGTCCTCAAGTCTTCCTTGGGATCCCAACACCAAACACTCTGCTTTGGAAACCACTCCATGAGAAATCTGGAGCTCCAGGTGTACAGACATGATGTCAAACTCATAACACAACTGTAAAAGCAATATCCAGGACATCCAGTGACAATATCCTTGGTGAGATAGAGTTGTATGCTTGAGACAGGCTGGTCTTGTTGGTTCAATCCAGTTTTGCTACTTAGATGACATTCAGACCTTGGTTCTCCTTTTATGGTTGAAAAAGCATATAAACACCTTCTCAAAGCTGTAGAAATGGTAAGCACCCTTTCAGAATGGTAGGCACCATCACAGCACACAGGAGAAAGTGGAAGGCAGTCAAATCTTAGCTACTGACACACACAATGGGAATTAGGAACAATTCTTTCTACTTTTTTTAGCTTTAATCTATTTATTTTAAGACCATATAAGCCATTTTCAGATGAAAGTAAAATTTTCATACTGATGGTAACATGAATGGCACTTTCCCACAGACACAGTATCCTCAGAAACAAAACACTCACAGAAGCTCAAGTGGACAACCAGCTTCCAGGACCTCCTGAGATGACTATGAGGACAGTCAGCCAGCTAACTCTCAGCAAAAGACATCTCTGATATGGCTAATTCTTTATTAATTCTTTTACAGAGGCAATACTTTGAAACAGTAACACTGGGCAGTGAGGGGAGTGCTGTGGAAACAAGCAGTCCCAGTTCCACTTCATCACAGCAGGTAAGTACCTTCATGGCCGTAGCAAGGAGAACATTCCTGTTCCCCACCAAACCAGTCGTCAGATCTGTATAGATGAGCCACCACTTCAAGCTTTCCTTCTGTTTCCTAAGGTTAGACAGTAGACTAACAAGGTCTCACACAGCATCAGCATCATGTTTCTTATAGGGGGCACAGCCCCTATATCCCCTCAGGTGTACTGTGAGTGCACACTGGGCCTGGGCAGGGTGCAGGGAAAGCCACAGGACAGAGTTTTGCTGCCATTGCCTCACCCTGCTGACAAGGATGTCTGGGGGAGAAATTCTCCAGGAGGAATGCTGGAAGGGAAGGAGTTCAATAGGAAGCAGAGCACTTCTGCTTTAAAATAGGAAGCTTGCTCCTTCTTTTCTCATCAGGGTTCAAGTCTGCAAACACACAGTATATACGACAGCTGTGGGTAACCCAACTGTCTCCCAAAAAACCAGTTACATGGGAACAGCAAGCTTTCTTGTCCCTAACCAGGTAATAGTCTTCCTCATGGAATCTTTAATTCTCTGCTCTAACTTCTCTCTCCCTCCCCTGGAAACTTACAGAAAAGAAAAGCACGGGAGAGTTAGTTTACGTATGCCATTTACCTCACCCTATCTTCAACCTCACTCCTTGTGTTTCTCATTCTTTACCTTCCTTTCCAGTGTAATCATCACAAGAACAGGGGAGATTCCAGTCACTCAGCCTCTCCACTGTCCTCCACCACAAGGTTTTCTGAAGACACAAGCAAGTGCAAACTACCTCCTCACACTGAAAGCTGGAAGAAATCATATTGGCAGAAGCAGAATATTCTGATCTTTCTCAACAGATTTTTTGATACAATATTGGGATTTTTGCCCCAAAGTATCTGGCAAAATACATAGAAAGCACTCCAGGCATAGATGACCTGCACACAAAGACACGGAGAGACAAACTTTTAAAGTGACATGAGTAGGAAACAGGGAAATACACAAGCTAATTAACGATAACATGAACACAAGAACACTCTATCCATAAAGGGACAGTCTGCAAAAGCAATTAAGATATTTTGCCAAAAACACATGTATTGTGTACCAGGTAAATGATTTTGCAGCTAAAAGCCTTAGGTTTCCATATTAAGAAGACAAAACACACTTTTCCTGATTTCACATTTTCTCCTTGTTCACGAAAAACCAAACCCAATCCTAGTTCACATATTTCTCATAACTCAAAAAACCCCAAAAAAATTCAATGCATCATTTGGAGATATCTGGTTCTGAGCTGTTGACTTATATTGCAAGTTAGCCCATTACACAAAGCATCTGACCAAGGAGTTCACTGCAAATATCCTTCTTGAAAAGAATACTTCAGCTCAGACCACAAAGCATGTGAGAGGCTGGTAACTTAAACACAGCTCACTTAGAACTGTCACAGAATCACTTTTGCTCTATGATGATCTTCCCATTCAGGGTTCTAGATCTTCACATTCCCTCCTCCAGCACCTTAATAGAAAGGAATGACCAGCTGATCATCTTATCCTTCTCAGGTAGTACCTGATGATACTCCCTCCAGTGCATGTGACAACCCTCAGGCAACACTCTTCAATTACAAGCAGCTGCTTTGCACTTCAAACAGACTCTGAGGAACTACAATTTATCTCAGCTGGGGATGGACTATAAAATGGTTCACTATTCTGTACCAGGAATTGCTGTGTCATATCCACAAACATTTGTCAAAGAGCTCAGGTTGAAGAGCTCTAATCTGCTTGCTATCCTAGAGCAAAACTTCCATGAACACAAACCAGCTTCTCAGTTTCAGAAAACGACCGTTCAGAACACCTCTGTGCTCGAGGGGACAAAACTGTAACCGCAGAGCAAGGGATGCAGGTTTATTAATCCATGCGTAAAGGTCTAATACTAAAGTTTCTGTTTAATGAGGACAACGTTAAGCTTTTCCTACAGAAAAATAACTTTCAGACTGTTCTAAGAAAGAACAGAACCTTCCAAATATGGAAGGACAAAGCCCTAGAACTTGTTCACATTAACTAATAGAACGCTCAAGTATATTTTTGTGGCATGATTGAAAATGTATGAAAGACATTTACTAGACAGTAAATCACAAACACAGTTGTCAAATTAAGCATTAAACCATTTCAGCAACTTGCCCTTTCATTTATAAAGTACAGTTCCTTTTTTTTAAAAAAAATATTAATATACCAAGTTCAAACTTACAGCACTAGCCTGCCAAGTACCAAAAGAACATCTTCACATTCTGTAGTCAAGTAAGGTCGTGCATTAGCAAAGCTTTGGATAGAGATTCGATACACTTCCAAAAAAGGTAAAATATGTTCCGATGCACCCCGGTTGCCAGCACACTGCAGGAGGGTCTGCAAGAGAAGAAGTTGTCATTAGAGCTTCCCATAACACACTTTTGTTTAAAAAACAAATATCAATATGCCATGTCAAGCACATACAGTGGAAGAACTCGGCAAGAGTTCAGTTTTAAATAGCAGCTTTTTGTCTCAACAGAAGTTCTGCCTTTTATTCAAATACATTTTTATTTATTTTATTATTTTGCTGAAGTTATCAGAATCTCTACTGGAGAGCAAGCTGGATGCAATTGGCAGAAATGTGACCTGTTAAGTTACAAATTCAGGGAGAAGTTCTGCACTCAGCTCCTTTTGTACAACTGCCATGGAGACAGAACCACATATGTAACACTGGAATCTTTATTGCTATTGAGAATGCAGAAAAAGAGGGAAGAAGTTCATGATTAAAATACTACACCTGGAGTCATGTTCTTAAAGATACATGCAACACCCACACCATGAACCCATCAGAAAGGGACGCAAAACTGAGATCAGACCATTATGTAGTCATTTCTCAAGTGCAAGATGACCCTAGATTTCACTCAAATGACACTAGATTTCAGTCCTTGACCACAGCAACCTCACATTATGCAGGGACAGGACTGGAGCAGCAATGTAAAATCCAGCCAGTTTTAAAAGAACTTACATCAGCACAGGGATGACAGTAGTATCTTCCAAACATTTTAAAACTCCCCTACAGTGCCATGTGTGCTCTGACAGGTTGTGAAGTACCATTTGAGAGCAAGGAGGGCACTGAGCTGAGGACACCATAGCTCTGCTGACAGCTGCACAGGTAACAGCCCTCTCCTCAGGTCATTCTGCACCTCCAGACCAAGCACATTCATCCCCTTATCAGTGACAATCCCTCTCCACTGTGCCACCCTCCCCAAACCAAACCAGGTACCAATCTTGAGCAAGGCCAGCTGTGAAAGAAACAAAACACAATGACAGAGACTGTGTTTTTTTGGAACCCTTAAGGCCAAGACTGCATGGGGAAAAAGTTCAGAGCCCTCTACCCTGCAGCTCAATACAAGCCAAACTGTCCTAAGAGTATGGTGAGGTCATGTCAGTTTTCAAATCACTTCAAGTTGCAGCTCTAACACAACCAGCTTATTTTAACACCTTAAACAAACACATGATCCTGTCAGATGGTGACTCTAAGAACACTACTGAAAAACCCTACTAAAACTAAGTGCAGTCACTGTAATGGCCAGAAACTGCCAAGACAAAACCTCCCTTCCAGCACAGCAAGAAATAAGTGACCACTTACACACTATTCTGTGTCCAGTGTTATGTTAATGATCTAACTATACAATACTAGCTCTGGCCTAAAAAAAAAATTTAAAAAATGCAGATGTCCACTAGACCAGTACAGCCATGTGTTATAGTTAAGAAAATTCTATCAACAAATACCATCTAAGAATCAGCAAAAAATCAAGACTGTTTTATGGATTATTCTCCAAGAACTCAGTAATGTAACTCCTGGGTGAATGGAAGCTACAAACCTTCCCAAAAAGCACACAATATTAATAGTTATAAGACATAATGGGGGTTAGAGTGGAGGGAAGACTGGATGCTTACAGAAATCATCCTTGAAGACAGCACAAAGATCATTAGTGAATGACTAGTAACTATCAGTCTACAGGTTTATTTAACAGACTAATGAAGGACTTCATAACTCGAATCATGTAACTTTAGAAGTACTAAATAACATTCAAAGGCTGTCAAACTGTAATCCCCATAGATACTCAACTGATGATTATCACAAATCAGCTGTTTAGCAAACCCTGCATTAATGCTACTACTACAGCGACTACAGAAACAAACACACACATCTCTGCACTTTTCTAAAAACACAAGCATTAAAACCAATCTATTTAAAAATGCAAATTTAGTACTCAATTGTTTGACAGACACTTAGATCATAAACTGACTGGTCTGTGTAAACCATGAGACATGACAGAATAATTCCTAAGATTAAATAACTCTCCCAGGAAACACTGCACCCTTGCTGGAGTGCAATCCAATAGGATCAAAGTCTTACAGCTAACATTGGCAATTCACTGAGTAACCATTTATGAGAAAATTCTCCCCAAATACATAAACAACAGTTACAGTGTAGAAGACAGACTCAGACCTGAGCTTCAAAGATCTGCACTTTTGCAGATTATTAAGCTATCAGCATTAGCACACTGACAAATAAGCCAAATGCAGTAACTGTATCACAGAGGCTCTTCAAAGCCCTCCTGCTATGTCACAAGTAATGTAAGCAGTTGTTCAGCTGTCCACTACAGGTTTCTCCTGGTAGTCTATATAATAGATAAAATTTAAAAAACAATTATTAACTTGCCAGAATTAGATAACCTACATGTGTAAGGAACAGTCAAGTAACAATTCATAAGTAATTACTACCTCACAGTCTAATTACCTGAAGAGAGTATTCAAACATTTTAAGTCTGGTTAACATACCCCCCACTTAAACTTCATCCTATCCTCCTTTTTCACTCCAACCACACACCTGATGGCAAGTGGAGTGAGAAGAGCAGAAGCCACATCCATCTACTGCTTAACATACAGACCAGCCTAGACCTCAGCACTGCACAGGTTCTCGTTCTGCCATGCTGAACACCTCCTTAGCCGCACCTCCCCAGCAGCACTGGGTTTTTACTCAGCCCTGATTTAAAGATCAAGATGTCTAGGTTTCCTGACCTGTTATTACAGCTTTAAGTCTCTGTTTACGAAAAACACTTCCTCCTTGTCTTAAGCATATCTGATTGCAATCACCAGTCCTCAGTGCATCACCTTTAATATAATTTCAGAAAGCCAAAAGCTGCTGGGCATGGGCAGACGGGATGCTTTGCTGTCCCACAGTCCCCACTTCACTTGTAACTCTCTTCATACTCATGACAGCACAGTGTCAGACACCTCCAGCCCATCCACCTGCCTGTCTGGGAACACACTCAGCTCCCCGGCAGACGTGGTGTTTCCAAAGCCAATATGAAAAGCATTCATGCCTGTGCAATGCAAAGTTGCAGAGTCGACCCATTATTTAGGCTTGGAGAGTTTCTCTGCTGTGTTATCCTGGACAACAGTCCTACTCCCCTGCTCAGCAGCATCCAGATAGCTCAAAGCACAGGGAAGCTACCAAGCTGGTTCTGTTTGTTGTGTCCAACTGCCATGGTAACTCCCACAGCAAAACAGAGCCCCTTCCTGGCCCTGCTCATCTGTACTGACAAGATGGCAAACCTAAAACATGTCAGCTCCTCTCATGTCAGCTACTCCTCAAAACTGAGTTCAGGCAGAGCTGAATTCAGCTTCTCCCTAGGCATTTTCTGCTGTGGCTTAATAAGCCTATGACAAGGTATCAGAGGTAGCCTCCAAGTTATTAACACAAAATGAACCTGAGGTTCCTAAATTCCACTCAGGGGCAGATCCTGAGTTATTTATTACGAACATCCCCAGCCAGAAGGAGAAACTAAAATATAAAATCACATCCTACCCACAGTGATGTGACTGCGTAGTGACATCACAAACTCATCATCTGCTGAAGCCACTGCAGGACAGAGCAGCAGTTCCAGGTTTCCCCCTGTGTCTCCTGGTGTAGAGCCATGACAACTCAGAAAGTCCAACACTGATAGCAGCCCAGGAACAATCCTCTTCATTTTTAACTGTGCTGTCACAGTGTTCTAAAACAAGACTACAGTAACAGCGCAGGCACCTAGAGGACTGCATTTTCTGTGGGACAGGGTGTGGGGGCGTGTTGGTTTTTTGTTTGCTTGTTTTGAGGTAACAGAACTGTCTTCCACCAAAGTACACTGACCAAGTGCCTCTAAAGCTTCTCCTGTACCAAACTACTCTGTGTAACTGGACATGTACATACACTGATCAACTCAACAATCGCTGCTAAGAGTTAGCTAAGCGCTTGTGTCACAGGTCTGAGGCAATGAACACCACTGGGAACCTGGAAAGATCCAGCAAAATCGGAAACATGGACAGAGCCACACACAGCACACTGTGCTCAGTGCCAGTGCAAGGCCACAGATCTTCACTGTGCGCTGAGCTCAGGACACACAGTGTGCAGCAGTACTCTGCAGTCTGAGGAACAGAGCTCTGAAACCTAATAAACACACTTATTCTGTTGTTTCAGTAGCTGATGAGCTGAGCACCCTCTCAGAACTGCACCGCAAAGCGCTACCTGTAAATGCAAAATGGAAGACTGTGAAGGGTAACTCCACTTACAGGTGATCTCTAACACACCAGCAGAACTTTTTGTCTGATTCTGCCACGCACCATTCGCATGCTGGACCTGTATCAGCTGAACTGTCCTTAAACTAGCTTGGAAAATACATCTTTTAGTTTTTTACTTTAAAATAAACAATCTCTTCACACTCAACAGGGATAACTCTCCAACAATTTTTCAACCTTAGAGCTCACAGTACATGATGCTGTGTGAAAAGCAAAAACCAATTAACCACTGGAAGAGTTTATTTAAGAATAACTTATCTCCATCACTGCAGCTTTAATCAAGTTCAGCTCATCTGAAGTTAGGGCCTCGATTCAGGAATTGCTGATCTTAGCTTGCATTAAGCAAGCATAGAGACAAGAACCCGAGCCACAGCCTAATCGGTGACTGGAAGGGACGTCAGGCCTGCACGAGGCAGCAAGCACTGCTGTCCGCACACAGACCCCGGCCCCGGTGACCGCACGGCACCGATCCCAAGGCAAGTGCAGCACAGACACGCGGAGGTCTCGGGACGAGCCAAGGCCGCACGGAGTAAATGC